AGTGGCTGAAAGTGGCACTGCTCAATTTTTAGTAGTCAGAATGAGTTAAAATGGTCATATCGCAGCCCAAAATTGGTTTATAAATATGGGAAAACATCCATAGTTATGTCGTTACGGCTTATAATTTGCAGGGCATGCAAATAATGCAAAAAAGTGCAATTTATACAGCAAAAAATACAGTAAGTAGTTTTGATGCCTTTTCTGAACTGTCTACAATCACCTGTAGGCAACATAAAGATCTTGTTATGAATAGATTAATATTCCAATGGTGATGTTTACATAAATTGAAAATCACATAAGCATGTTCAAAGTGCAGCCTAAGAGACAATTTTGGTCAATTTTACTCATCCTGCAACTTCTATCCCAACATATATTATTTAACAGCTACCATAGCACTGATAATTTTATGTAAGCTTTAAGGTTAAAAATAATGTTAGAAGAAACTGTTGGCTCTTGGGGGATTCTTACATTATAAAATCAGACACTTTTTGAAAAAAGTTTGGGCTCCCCTGAAAGCTATACATAATCCCATGTTACTTGTTAGAGAGCATGACTCACACCTACGTTTCATCCCTTGAGCAGAGCCATACATCCTGCTTTCACAACCAAAACCAGTCTTCCTTGTATCTTTCAATCTATTACGCCATTCCCCCCGTTATTTAAAAAAAAAAAGCTTAATTTTCTGCAACCCTCCTGTTTTGCACTGACTGGAACCTTGGTTATACAAAGCAGGTGCCAGTTTCTGTCTGTGTTGTAAAATACTGCATAAAGTCAAGTGCAATTAAGGTGCAAGCATGCCTACATAATGTGACTAAAGGAACACTTCACATCTCTTAAAGCAGTACTTCAGCTCTTCTGCGGTTATGAGCAAGTAATATATTACCTGCTGTAAGTAGCTCTTTGAACGGCTTTAGTTTGGAAGAAAAGAGTTAAATTCTGACCTGATTAAGGAGCTGAAGAAAAGTCTGAGCAGGGCCAAAAACAAAAATGGATTGCTGTCATCAGAGAACAACTTGAATCTATGTTTACATCACAGTCGATTTGGCTGTACACAGTCATGATTTTGCACAAGAGGCAGCAAACAGCTACAGCATTTCCACTGCATCCTGAGACACTTCCAACTAGAATGTTTCATTATTTCTGCAGGAATGACCTTGTAATGCAATTTTGGCACAGATGCACAAGTTTAAAAAAAGTTTTTAAAAAGTAGTGTTCAATAAAGTTGTTTGAAGAAACAAGAATTTATATTGGACTTGGCCCTGCTTTGACTTATCTTTACCTTGTCAGAATGTCAGAATTTAAACATTATTATCCCAAATTCAGGCTGTCTCTCTCTTTTTTTTTTTGTCTTTTATTTTTATATTTCTTTACAGATAATCTGATAAATATATATATATTTTTTTTTTAAAGTGTAATTTTTATGGTATATCAGTTACAAATCTTAGTCAGTGTGAATTGGAAAAGTTAGATTAACTTGATTATTATTAAAGTTATTAATAATTTCATAATGAATTAATTGGGTAAAATATATGCTGTGAAAAAAGTTTAGTTATGATGTTAATTAGTTAATTTGAAAACAAATGTTTTCCCATGATTGTGTTATATAAGGTGTTAATGCTACCAGTCACGTTATACAGATCAGATAATCGTATAATTAATTATTTTTAACATACTGTATTTTTCGTACTATAAGGCGCACTAAGGCGCAATATTAATGAGTGGGTCTGTTTTCATACATAAGGCGCACCGGATTATAAGTGCATTAAGCATAACGTTCAAGTTCAAGTTCAAGTAAAAAAAAAAACAATGTAGACATGTTCCTGTTTTTAGTTTTTATTCCTCTTGATTGTCCTTTTGGTTGCTATTTTGTTTTGATTTGTGAAAAAAGAAAAAGAAAAAGAAACTTAAATTTGTATGCCTATGCCTATTTTATGACTGTCTATTGTTGTTGTTGTTATCTATTGCCGTCATCACTCTTTGTTAAGAAATCAGGTCTCTCTTGTAAATGAGTCCCCGAGGCTCAATGGGATTAACGTGTCTAAATAAAGGTTGAATGGAGTTCATTTTGACATATTTTGAGCGCTGTCTACCACATAAAATCAGTTCGAGGTCAGTAAGCACAACCAGAATTAATACATAAGGCGCATTGGATTATAAGGCTCACTGTTGATTTTTGAGAACATTTAAGGATTTTAAGTGCCTTATAGTCTGAAAAATACGGTACATTTTTCTGACAGTATCTTTCATTTGAGCTTAATTTTATTTTATTTTTTTCAAAGTCATCTGACCTAAATATTGGTAATGATTTGACTAGACCACCACACATTTTCTATGAATTGCACTGTGAATTTGTGTTTTTCCTCTACTAGAATTTAAAAAAAAAAGTAAATAAAATAAAAAAAATAGACACAGGAACAATAGAGAAAAAGCAGAGAGAAGCCAGCAGATGCTGAATTAATTTCCATGGTACCTTTCTGCTCAGGAGCTAACAGATGACGCTGATGCAAAGAGAAGTATTTGCTCAGAAGGTAAAGCAACAACAGGGTGAGGTATTTTTGGCATTTGTAGTAGTGTGTCTCCAGACGTAAGATGAAGTAATCGCAGGGCTCCATCTGCATTTATATTTTAAACTTGATTCATAATGCATTTAAAGTGTATGTAAGGTTCTTCGTTTAGCATTCTAATCTAACATTTTTGAATATTTAGGATGATACAACTGTTCTATGTTTCATATTAGCCAAAAATATATGGCTTCTGTGAAAAAAAAAGTACAGGTTTTTGCTAGTTTACATGATTGGAACTGTACATTACTTGATCAAAAGGAAACGATTAATACACGTCAATCCACTTATGGTGCGCGCAACTTGATAAAAATTTAATTTTGCCTGTCAATTAGTAATATTCACACCTAGTGAGAGTGTTTGCATTGATTCTGTCTATCATTATCAATTTGTTTTTACACTTCCTCCATGATGATTTGTTTTCTTTTTTATATTATTCTAAAACGACTGTGTTAAAAAGTGACTTTATGTAGTCATCTAACCAAATCCTGACAAAGTGACAAAAGCCGTGATCTTAAGGGCAACTGTAAAATAGAAAAACAACATGTTTATAAAAACAAAAGAAACCAGTTGCCCATTATAAATAGAATCAGAGAAAGCCTAGCAACATACCCGCCGTGCATCTGGTGTCTGTGAGAGTGAATAAATATTCAGAGAGCATGATAGTGGAAGCTGCACAGGTGCATATATTACCTGTATCAAAGCAGCCTGAAGACTAGAGGGAAGGTAAAGGTAAAGACATAAAAGCAATACTACTTAACCCGCAAGCTTTTGTGCTGGTGCATTTGGAGCAAAAAATAAATTCTGCGTTGTCTCCATTTTGGGTAATAGTGTTATCTTGTTTAAATCTGCAAAATAGTGGCTTTGTTGTTCAGTATATACACCTGTATTTGTGTGTGCGAGGAAGAGACTGAAGAAGTGTGTAGGTAGGCGGGTGATGTTTTTGTGTGATCGATTCTAGGATAAAATGCATAATGTGGATCTTCCATCTTGCAGTCTGCAGACACTGACACTGTTTATTGTACAACTGACCAACCCCATCAGTGAGAAGCCAATTTATTCTAACCATTAGGTTTTTATAACTACATTTCTCCCTTACAAACAGAAAAGACATTAGCAAAACATTCTGATATTAAAAGCGGTGCCCCTCTTGATTGGATTTCTCTTATCTTACAAAACCAGGTCTATAAATTAACTGGGATTGCAGTGAGGCAAGTGTCACAGCTGCATGAGTGAGTATTTGGTTTCATTTGAACAAAGCATCTCTTTCAATATCTCTCCATGCGACTAGCCTAAGAACTTTGGGTGAATCAGATTCTGGACGGGGGAAAAAAAAAAAAAGAAGCGAAGTGATTGAATTTACACCTCCCACAGAGTCAAGTTTGGTCTGCCATAATTCCTCGCAGCATACACACAACCACACACTCACACGTATATAAAAGTGAGACAGACAGAGAGGGATTGGCACATCCTTCTGCCAGCCTCGCGAGTGTTTCCATCTCTACCCTCCTGAGCATGCTGCAAACAAACAGTTCAGAGCAATGTAAATGGTGTGGAAAGTGCTGCATTGGGATATGATGACCACAGCCGTTCTCTTTCCAGGCGCAGACGAGGAAATGAAAAACATCGCCACTTCACTCTGGTCCCCACATTATCTTTTATCTTACCAGTGAGAGTTGCTTTCATGTTTTCAGTTTATATCCACAATAGCTAAATATATCAGTCTCTCTCAGGTCAGCCCGGTGGCAACAGATTGACAGTCGACTGTGATTATACTCATGGCGGCATGGATCGTTTCAGATTTGTGAAATAAAACGTAACGTTTCTATTTTCAGGTGTAAAGCAAGCTCCTCTCACAAAAAAAACAACAAAAAACTGTGCAACCACAGCAAAACCAATATCTGAGAAAAGTCTTTCCAAGTAAAAGGTGAAAACAGTCTGTCATGTTACACCAGAAATATCTGTCATTTTGCACTGCAAATGTCTATCATGCTTCCTTGTTTCTGTCGTATTTTCTTCCTTTTCTTTTTGAGACTTCTATGCAGCAAATCCAAGTTCAAATATTGACGTGATCAAAAAAAGTCACAGATTGAGGAGCACTTTGCCGTGCATATGGATCCGTTGATAGTTAAATCAGTTGTAGGATGTTTGAATTTTTTATGTTTAGTCTTTTATCCTTAAACTACCATCTACCTTTCACTCTGGATGCCTTCATGTTATCTTTGAAACTCAGCTCAGGCTGTCTGCAATGCAAAATATCTTGCTGCAGCTACAGCGTCTAATAATATTGATGGAAGACATCTGTGAACTGGTTGTACCCAGAAGCTGGTAGATCTTTACCTAAACACCAGCAAAAAGTGTAGGCACATTTTCACAGCATTAAGTACAAACAATATCTGCCACAAGAGTCAGTTAGGCATCTTGAAGATGTCCACTCACCCTTCTCAAAAGACTGGCCATTAACTGCTGCGGCTTTCATCTTGAGGGCCTCCCTGGCAGATGTGTCGCAGTGTGAGCCTTTATTAGTATCCTGGTCACTATCAGCCTGGTCACTATCACCATGGCCACTGTCTCTCAGGCTTGCTCGTTCTGCATCCTTAAATGTTGAGCTGCAGCAGGATGGAAAGAAAGACAAATAAAACGAAACTTAATGTTACTTCTGAGTTAGAATCTCCCCCTTTGATAACCAGACTCAGGAAGTGTTTGGATGCTGCTCTTACCTTTGAACAAATGGCTGCCTGCTGCCAGAATAATTGGGCTCTGAGGAAAAATTTTCTGTCTAGAAATAAAAAAGGGAGAACAACAATATGCAGTGACCATTTTTGAACAACAAACCTAAATGACATGAGATTCAGACAGGGAAAAGAGGTGTCCTTGTGTGGCTTTTGGACATTTTAACATGTTTATGATGACACCAGAATGATATCTGTAAACAACCACATGGGACTGCCAGCTAGAAAAAAAACTACACCAGCAAATCTCTATTGTGGCCATAAGCGTTCTCTTTGGCAAGGCAAAGACAGCATTAGCCTCTGTCATTAGGATCCTTTTCCCTCTATCTTGAAAGTAATGTGCTTGTGCAGATCACACCCACATACCCCAGTGGCTGGTGACAGTGCCAGGCCTTGTCATTTGTGTTATTATCTCCAAATGAGACAGTACTGGATATTTACATCATTTACATCAGATAATTCTGCTGTGCAAAAAGCACTACAAGCCCATGCTGTCAAATTAGCATGTTAGCTGGCTTGAGCATCCAATCCTGCCATCTCTACAAGGCGAGGTTGGAACCTAATAATGGCCCCTTCGTGCCAACTTTGGAAGCGGATGGGTGAATCTGGCCCATATTTCTGTTGGGGACCGAAAAATGCGATTGTAGGGTTATGCTGTGTGCATCTAGCTGTCTGGTGCACATTGGTTCTGTAATGTGATTGGACAAGCTGCTCAAACACCTGTCCAATCCCACATTTCAGGCAAGGTTTGGTTTTCACTCTTCAGCAGTGAATCTGGCAGGGTCGCAACAGCCTTGTTCAAGACTCACACTGTTTGCATGGCTAACTGAGTGGACTCTCAGATTATGAAGACCAACTGTGCCATTCTGCAAGAACAAAAACTTACAATGGAGCAATTTGAAAGTGATTCTCCTATGCACACAAAGTAAAAGAGGCTCTTTTTAGTACATAGCTATTTAAAATGCATAATTACAGTTCAACAGGAGGTTGTCATATCATGCTTTACATGCAGAGACTATGCCATAGTTTCAAAACGTGAAGAAAAGAAATGAGAATAATTATTTCACAGTGCCAGTTTCTCTTTTTCAGTCACTTTTTCTTCTTTTGACAGATTTGTTAGGCAAAGCAAGGCATGCAGATAAGTGAGAATGAAGGACAGATAAGAATAGAGTGGAGCATCCTTCTTACCTGTATCACTGACATCCTATTCGCTGGAGTATCTGAGCTGAGACCTGCGAAGCTGGAGTGGCATCCTGACCTAGGAACAGTCAGACTGTTTGAGGTGGTTTTCAGGTACATGACTTCCGACCTGGGCAGCGTGAGTGGCAGGGGGCTCTGGTAGTCAAAACAGATTGGTGAGGTGATCAGTGATGGACTGCTCACCACGTTCATCCGGCTTGCCGAATCTCTTTCCTCCATCTCACTCTGCACCAGCATGATGTCACTCTTGTTGATCCTTTTCTTTTTCCCTTTTCCCACTGGAGGATTGGAGTACTCAGCCATGCGGCAGTTATAATTCCCAGACTCCTTATCTTGATGCTTGGACTTGACAGCGATGGCGGTCATGACGGCTAAGAGCATGACAGAGATAATGCAGAGGGTAACTATGAGGGGCAGGGACACATCCCAGTGCTGCTGTTCCCCGCTTGTGCTGGAACCCCCTCCTGCTGCTGCTTCTGTGTTCACCTTAATGATGAGCTTAGCCACAGCAGATAAGGGGGGCTTGCCATGGTCAGTTACCTTCACCACCAGCTCAACCACCGGGGCAATCTCCTCCCAAAGAGCATGTGCAATTCTGACCTCTCCTCCCACTGGATCCATCTCAAACAGGTGGTCGTCATTCCCCTCTATGATCTCGTAGGTTAAATGTCCACTTTCTCCATGGTCATGGTCCACTGCTTTCACTGTAGTGACTATGTATCCAATACCCACATTTCTAGGCACTGGGATTTCAGCTGTATCATTTTGCAGTAAAGGTAAAATGATAACTGGAAGATTGTCATTGACATCAAGAATGTTTACCCTGACACTGGAGGTGCTCTCCATGTGGGGAGAGCCACCATCTTTAGCCTGAACTTTGAACTCAAAGGATTTTGTTTGTTCATAATTAAAAGAGCGTGAAGCATAAATGGCCCCATTGGTGGGATTAACAGACACAAAGGTGTACACTGACACATCTCCTATGTGGGAAGGCAGTATGGAGTATGACACTGTTCCATTTCGACCCACATCTGGATCGTGAGCCAAAACTGAGCCCAAGTATTCACCTGGGATGTTGTTTTCAGGCACCTGTAAAACATATAACGTCTTTGTAAAGCGTGGCGCATTGTCATTCTCATCTAAGATTTTCACAGTAAAAGATCTTGTGTTGTTCAGAGAAGGGATCCCATTATCTCTTGCAACAATTGTAACATTGTATTCATCTTTTGTCTCCCTGTCCAGAGGTCTATCTGTGAGCAGAGTGTAAAAATTATCATTGTTTTCCTGCAGTCTAAAGGGGACATTCCCCAGCACCCGGCATTGAAGCTGACCATTACGGCCTGAGTCTTTATCCGTCACTCTGACCAGAGCTATGACGGACTCTGGAGGAGCTGCCTCACTGATGGCTCCTTGCCGGACAGAGACAAAACTTATAAGCGGTAAGTTATCATTCTTGTCGAGCACTTTGACAGTAATTTTACAGTGCCCTGGTATCGGATTGGGTCCAAGATCTTTTGCCTGCACATCAAACTCAATGATGGGGTTCTCCTCAAAGTCTATTTCTCCCTGGACCTTGATGACACCAGTATTTGGATCTATAGAGAACAAATCTTGTATTCGCTCAGATGCGTATCCAGTAAAAGAATAAACAACCTGCCCATTGCTTCCCTCATCTTGATCAGTGGCATTCAGGTCTATAAGAACTTTTCCAGCAGGTGAATTCTCAGGAATCTCTAGCACATAGGAGGATTTTTCAAAAACCGGGCTATTGTCATTCGAATCAGTCACTCTGACGTTGATCTGCATTGAGCCTGATCGTGGATACTCCCCACCATCGATTGCAGTGAGAAGCAGGGTGTGATGGCTCTGATCCTCTCTATCCAGAGGTCTCTGAACCACCAGCTCTGGGTATATAGTCCCGTCACCTCTCACTTTCAAATCCAAAGAGAAGGTACTGTAATCATCTCTTGTCACCTGATACGTTTTTATCCCATTTTCCCCAGAATCTGAATCATGTGCAATAGTCAGAGGGAAACGTGTCCCAGCAGCTGCGTTTTCTGAAATATCAATATTCACATGATCTGAAGGAAAACTGGGCGAGTTGTCATTTATGTCCTGTATGTCAATCTTGATCATGCAAATCTCCTTGTCATTGGCAAACACTTCCATGGAGAGCTGGCACTTTGGGTTGCGTCTGCACAACGTCTCCCTGTCAATCCTTTGTTTGGTGAAAATTAGTCCACTCTCAGGGTCAACATCCACCAGATGCGGTGCCGAATTCTCCAGCACTCTGAAGTTTGATTTCTTCCCTCTCTCCATCGCTCCATACCCAGCATCTTTTGCAATATTACCTATAACAGTTCCAGGTCCTTGCTCCTCTGGGACAGAATAATTAAGATTTTTCAATGTCAGGGCTTTAACCCAGAGAAGAAAGAAAATGGGTACAGAGAGACGCATCCCTTCAACTAGATATGCAGCAGTGGTAGAAAAGAGAAGGGGGGGGGGGGATCCTCTTGACTTTCAACCTGTTGATTATGGCAAAGCTAGAGAACTAAACCCAGAGCAGACATGTGGTTTACTACGATCTCACACTAATTAGGTATTAAACTGATTCATGAACCTCTTCTGGTGTTAATTGGTATTCTAACCTCTTTTTTTTGTTCATGCTGTGCGGCATATGATGAACTCTCTCTGTAAACAAAGATGACCGCTAGACGACACCTGATGCATGAATAAAATATCAAATTCAACATCTAACACAATAAACGCTTTGTTTTTGTGGGGTTTCTGTTAAAAACCGGAGGGACTTGATGAATAATCCATGACTATAAAGTATTAATATTCCCAACCGCATCCAAGGTTAAAGCGTTTTGAGTCTGCTCTGTGAAGGTTACAGACCGTGCGGCTTACAAAAAGCGCATTGCCCTCATATGCGACATCTACACCTAGGCTACAGCAAACACTGACACAGCCATTCAAAATGCAGCATTGCCCCCCCTTCCTGATTGTTACCATTCACAACACATGGACTTTTCTCCCCCCCTCCCTGTGCGGCACACTGTTGCATCCGTCGGTGCTGCACATCCAGCCCCTCTCCATGCCGCAAAAAAGTGGAATAAAAAGCAGGGGGGAGACAAGCTCGATCCCCTCCTGTCCAACCTTTTGTGTTCCCGTCATTCAAGAGCATCCGCAGACTTTTGCCCGATGATTGTCCCTATAATCAGTCCAGTAATCCCATAATAATCCAGTCCAATTGGACCCCTCGCATCCATCAGTCGCACGGCTCTGCTCTTCCTTCACCCGCAACTCGCTGCGAGGAGACACGCAAAAATAAAATAAAAACAGATTGAATCAGAATTAATCTCTCCTTCTCCTCCTCCTCTTCCTCCTGCGCTCAGTCACAGTTCTCTCCGCGTCAACTGTTGAACCCCGCTCTCCTCTCTCCCCCTGCGAGCCGCGCTGACCGGAAGCCTCTCGAAGCCTTCACAACACACTCCTGTGTGCTTCCGAGCGCATTTAACATACTTTCTGATCGTCCTCAAGGCGGATGAGTGAAGAGTGACAGATCTTGCCTCGAGGGGGGGGAAGTGGGAGGGGGAGGGGTTGTGAAGTGGGGGGGTGGGGGTGTTTCCAATAGGGGTCTGGTTGGCAAGATCGCATGAAGAAGAAGGGCTGTTCTAGTGCTACGTGATCCATTTACTGATGTGTGTGCGCGCAGCAGCAGCATCAGCATCAGAGGTGGGGGGGTTGGATGTTGCTCCCAATACGTGTCGATGTGAAGAAGTAGGGATTATAGATGGATTGATGAAATGTGTCTGGCAGGAAAAAAAAAAAGAGAGAAAGAGCAAGAGTAGTGGTCATTTTTTTATTTATTTATATTTTTTAAGGCAGGGGGAAGAAGTGGAACAGATGGTGGTGTGGAACATGTATAAAAGCTGACAAAATGTTCGGAGAACTGAGAGTGCTGTGTTCTATGTGTCATAGAAGCTCCTTAGGTATTCATTACAAAGATTCCCTTTAATTATTAAAAACAACAGACTCACACCTGTCTGTTCTGCTGGCCTCCCTTGTTGTCATCGCTGGTTTGGAGAAAACTCAATCACAAGAGATGAAAAGGAGAGAGGACAGACTGTGGATGTTTTGCAGGATAATCTCTGTAAAGGACATGCTTATTCCTCTGAAAGAAACAAGGCTTATTTCACAGCTCAAATATCACAGCTGTTGGTATAACCTGCCTTATGCAGCGAGCACATTCCCCTCCAATAGCAGATTCACATCAATCTCATATCTTTTTTTTTTTTTAAAAAGAAGAAAAAGATGGATTGACATTTAGTTCACTCAGCATTTCAACAATATGACATTTGCATTTTTATTCTCACTTGACCAGATCTCTGTGACACCTGATGCAGGGAGCCTATATTCTGAGCGGAAGTTGTGTCAACATGAGGGCAAGATGACTGTGGCCTGCTTCCTCGTTTCATTCCACATTACCCTGGATCAAAATCAACCTTGAGTTGCTCCTGAGTTCATTTTCATTGTCTGAAACATGGCTGCTTTCCTCCTCTGGGGAGCATCAACTTTGGCTGGCCGGGGGTGCAGCCTGCATAAATTGGCCATTTCTGCAGGTATGAGATAAGGACAACAAAGGGGAACTAATTATCATTCAGTCTATGTTAAAACCTCAGGAAATAGCTGCTATTGACGATTGTGTCCACATTGTCACAGTCGTACCGTTTAATATGATCTGAACTGAAAATGAGTGAGGGGGTTAAGGCCATAATAAATAGGCTTCATTCTAATGTGAGGTTCTGGCTGCCTTGTTCTTCTAAAACCAGACAACTTTGTCTTGGATAACTTCCTATAATGAGACAAAAGCACCCGACCTGCTGTGAAATACACTTTTTTTTTTTTTGCAGCTTTTTATTTCTTTCTTTATTTTTTGGGGGGTGGCGGTGCTGTAAATAAACAAACAGATGCATCAGGTGTTTTATGACAAATTGATTTTTACTCGAAAGCCCGTTATTCTGTCGCCGAGTCAAACCATACCTGTTCTTAATTCCAGGTGGGGATGACAAACAGCGGCCACGCTCCATTTAAGCGCACTTGTAATATCTTAGCATCTCTCTCGCGTGATTCACTTACCACTCCGTGCAAGCATGATTAAAGGTGAGATTAAATTGTTTATCATTCTGTTTTCGCTCCCTGTCGCTGGCTGCACTTCAAGCCTGCACACAGGAATACTGATGGTGGAGAGTGGGAAGGATGATCGAGACGAGCCACTGAATTTTGCTGCAGAGCAAAACGTCTCCTCAAAACATTTGTGTAAACATATTCATTACTCACATGAAAGAGAACATTAAGTTGCTAAACAAAAACAACAACAACAAATTATTAAATTCCAATGACCAATTCATACATTGAGCCTGAATCTCTACAATTCTATCTTGTAGTAATCTTATTCTTATCTTGTAATAATGATTCACATTTCTGTTTAACCCTCGTGTCATGACACCTCTGCAGAGTACAAGTTTTAAAGGGACAGTTCATTAAGTTTACCCAGCAAAATCCTCTTTTTCCTATCCTTGTAACCAGCCATGCAGAAAAACATTAATTTATGAATTACAGTTTTGAGAAGTCCTCTCCTAAAACGTCTGTTCTTTCTGGGGAAACTGATCTGTAAATACTTTCGGCGTAGCCAGTTTTTACAGATGCATTTTGCTGTGGTTTGTAGTATTTGAATGCTTTGAGCACTTATAATGAAATTCACTTCGCTGATGTTCTATCAGGGTGACGCAGAGATCTAAACTGAAGCAGCGAGAGAATGCATTATTTGGGGGAAAGTGTCAGAAAGGTCACTTTTTGCTGTTTAATGAGTGTTTGGAGGTGCACACTTTGTTCTTTTTTGTGGGTAAGTGTCTATATTTTATCATATTGCCTACAAATTGTACAAAAGGAACAAAACAGACTATGAACTGATCCTGCAAACAAGTGTTTCCTGAAATAAAACAAACATATTTTTCTCATATAATGAATTGCTCTATTGCCACGTCACATATAAGAATTATTGTTTGTAAAGTATGAAGCAAACTCTAGCAAGGTTTGACTCCTGAGTCTAATCTGTGGCAACTTTTTTCTAAAGTTAGAGATTGATTAGTTTATGTAATACTGTTTCATTTAATGATGGATATCACAATATACTTTAATTTATTTTGTGTCAGAAAATGTGCCTTCAGAGCCTGAATAAACCCATGCAACAGCTTTATAACACTTAGGGAAACGAGTGCTGGTAAGGTAATAAATTAGGTGCGCTGTCAGAACACATTTTACAAATCGGGTCAGTATTACCATTTGCCAGACACTCTCAACTAAAACTGGTTAACTGGATACAAAGGCTTGTCACTAGAGTGATACTCTCAAAGGTACTGTTCTTGTACCCTCAAAAGTGTGTACTTATCACCAACCATAGAGGAAATCCACACATCTGATGGGAACCTGGAAATTGAAGTCAGAACAGGCTGGATGCAGTTAAAGAGGACATGGAGGTAGTTGGAGTGAGGACAGAGTGAGATGGAGGAGGATGACTCGCTGTGGTGACCCCTGAAGAGGAAAACTGAAAGAAGAAGCAGAAGAACAGGCTCAATGCAGCATCCCTGCTTCCAGCGCAAGTTTTATGTCCTACCTGTTTGTAGACGGCCGCTTCACTGCAGCCAAACTGAAAATGAAACAAAGCACGTCTGTTGCACATAGACACAAACAATATTGTGAGCCCACAAGTACAGTTTTATCAAACCGAGGAAATGGATTTTTCCAACCTTAAGAAATTTATTTTTTTACCTATGAACCCTCTGAGGCTCTATGTGAATCAACATTGTCCTTGGTAATATAAAAATAAAATATATATATATAAAATACACCTCTGCTATTTTTTTTTTTCTGGTGCTCTGTCTTGTTGATTCACATAGTCCTTACCCTGTTGTTGTGTCTTCTAATGTTCATTTTTTTTATACATTCATCTGCAATCAATTATTTCATGCTTCAAATAAAGGTCATGCAATGACATGTTTGTCTGTTGGGGAGTAGGCAGGGCTTAAAGCTCAAATTCCTGTGCAGGCTTTGGATTCAAGAATACAACATGGAAGAAGAATTTGAGGCTTCATTTCTCAACAATAGAAGAGGATGCAATGTCCGTGAATGAAATGAAATATAAGAGATCAGTCTTGTACGGTGATTATCAGTCCAAAAAAGAGTCTTTAAAAGAGTACAAAAAAGTGTTTAAATAAAAATTGTTCTAATTGCCCATTGCTATAAAAGTTTCCTTGTTTCCAAAGCCATAGGTCTTGATAATCCAACAGCTCAATATGTCTTAAACTCATTAGGTACCAAGTTTTCCTTAAATGGGATTTAACCTCTAATATTTTCATCCAAATGCAGTGAATGCAATCACTGAGAAAAACTGCCACAGATCTAACTAATCTAA